GGGTTGAGTGCTTTAAATCCGTGCGAGCTTCGCATGGCTTCACCTTTGCACTTGAAACATCCTGGCAGTTCCTGGCATTAGCACCATGGATCCACTGCCTTCTACTGCAATCGAACTCCGAATCCCTACTGGCATCCAGGTCGTGGGCCAATTTCCTGTTGTTGTAGCAAAATATCGTGACACAGTGCTCCATTTCTTGTTTCCAGGCCCTAACACAGCGGTTCACCAGAGGCATTGACAAAGGAAATGCCAAAGCTTGCAACAAACCTTGTTTGTAAGGCTTGCGGGTCAGACAGACAGCAAACCTGTGAGCAATTCAGTTTTCGCCATCAAGTTTTTCTATGCCTGCGAATGTTCAAGTTGTTGCCAATCCATTGCTGCACGTTATTTGATGTGGCTTTTGTGCAGCTGGTTTACGCGGCATCATTCTCCAGGTGGTGCCACATGATTATGACGTAGGAACACTGGCCGTCAATGCATGCGCATGGTGGGAATATTGATGGGCTGGAGCGATATTCGTGTCAGGCGTCCGTCTGGAGTCACTGCGCGGATGTCGATCAGATCTGCAACGTCTTGTGGCTTTAAACCCTTGTACACCGCGAAAGATGAAGGCAGAAGGACGCGCTTAGCTGCAAACTCGCGTTCTGAGACCCGCAGGCGACTGGCGGGTGCAATTAGGCACAGACTTGCACACTATGAAGTTGTTGTTTTCGACCAGGGACTTGACGGACTCGCTCGCCAACACGGGCTCCTTGTCGTCCACTCCAAGTTTCCGTTTGGTCAGTGCGGCAGTCGCCTTGCGTTTTCGCGTTATCTGCAACAGCTCTGGGTACGAAGCTGTTAGCAGCTGCTAGCATTGCACGTGGAGGTGGTTGAAAAGATGTCCAGCGAGGCTCCAGTATGGCCAGAGCACGGTCCAATTATCTGTCCAAAACGAGATTCAGCAAGAACTTTGCCATTGCCAAGTTACCAAGTGCGGCCGCTTAGAAGAGAGGGGTCTACTGAGCCTTCGCGACCTCTGCCAACCCAATGCCTTTTCAAAGACACATCCTGGCCAGCTGCTCTGATCCTCGTCTGTTTTGCAGAACAACATGAAAACCTTGTTCGGAAGACCTTGCCGCCCAGCCGTCTTACCTTGGAAAACAGCTCGTTGCGATCCACAGGCATGGCCACTGCAAATCTTGAGCCTGAGCACGGTGCGTGTCCCAGGTCAATCATGGCACATCATAAAAGGCAAAGTTGAAAGATCCAGAGAAAGACCCAGAGGTCTGCTAATGCAGTGTCACAGCTCTCTCTGTCTAGCCACTCACAACCCTGTGCACACTGTACAACAGACCAAGATTACAGTGAAGATTAGTGAAGCTTCTTGACTCTTCATACTATGCGCGCGGAAAACCCATCCATTCAAGTCATGCCTTTTTGCACGCTGCCTGCTCTCTGCTGCTGGCGTGCAAGGGAAAATGTACACTTTGGCAGTGTTGCTGCGCTGGTGCATGTCTGCGAACAACAAAGTCCACGATGCTTCAGCTGCAGGGCGGCACCTTTAATGCTATCTTTCAAAGCTTTCTGCAGGTTGTTTCGCAGATAGCAAGCTGAAATTCTGACACTAGCTGCATACGGGCCCTTGTCATTGTTGGAGGCATTTAACCGTCAGCATGCCTGAGCGCGTGGCTTGTTGCGCCTTTCGTTGATGCTGGCGACGGCAACTTGGGCGCCTCGAACCCCTATGTTTCTTCGCATCACTTCTGTGATTATGGGAGTATCTGTAAGTAATACTAGTAATATCATTGACACGGCCAAATGACACTGTAACTGAATGTAATTGAGTTTGCTTTTGGTCTTATCGCATCAACCCCGCCGATTGTTCCCTATACAAGGCATGCATGGTCCGGTGGAACAATTTACCACCCAGGTGTGAAGATCATACACGAGCGGCTCGCCTGCGATTGTGATCACCGAGTCGGAATTGTTCATTGGACTACAACTGCTTCTGGCGGCTCGAGGGATCGGCTACTCCTGCCAAGTTTGGGGACAATTGCACTTGCACAGCATCAGTGTTTCGTGATCCCGCACCTCCTCTGTGCTTTCCACGCCACGCCGCTGCTTTCGCTTCTTTGCATTTTCTTGATCCTGTGTTCTTGTACATGTTGATACCTTGACTGGAAGCTCCGGCTGAAAGCATCTTGGTGGAGAACACGTTGCTCCCCCCTCCTGGCGAATGTACATCTTCATCTTCTCAGCCATTTCCTGCATGATAAGATGGTCTTGCGCGTGCTTTTGAACACTCTAAAAGGTCTCACTCAAAGAGTCTGCACCCTACATCCCTCTGAAATGTACAGCTGAGCATTTGTTGTTCAAGTTCAGCCTCTTGTACTAACAACCTAGAATGCCTACTTCCCTGCAGACCAAGCTACGCGCCAACACTCTTGCTATCGCCCTGCCTACGCGGACTACGCGGCAACTCCTGGGCTATAGACAATGCTATGCAGCACAAACCTCTTCCTGCTTGCAGAACATGTATACTACGCAGACTACGCAGACAAGACTACCTATGCGTGCCTAAACTACGCCACAACTACACCGGCCAGGCCAGACGCTACGGCGAGCACCCTTGCCTTATCACATGTGTTTCATATCGCGATAGAGAAACAACCTACTATGGATCGCTCCAAGGTGCAGTAGAGCCAGCTTTCGTTCTAGATTTCCAACCATTTTCCAACAGCCATCAGATGCGTAATGATCAGTGC